GGGGGGGGGGGGGGGTCGGGGGGCTGAACCCGAGCCAAACTATTTTCTGGAATAATCAATAGCTTTTTTTGATGATTTTGCTTATACTACATGTGTAAATGTTAGATGTGCCTTTGGTCCTTTGATACGAGGGAGATGACGGAAAATTTTATTGTGTTTATATTACGTCTACTTGGAAATGTTATTCTATATTGCTGTCCACCTGTCAATCCGTGTACATTTCTTATAGACGCGAGGTTACAGGTTTAATTGATTTGGATGATCTTAATTAACATGTATATATTACTGAGATCTCGGCTTCAATCATCTTCACTGTGTCAAGCTTGTACGAATCACATCTAACACATTGTCTGCTGAAGCCACCTTTCTTGTATACTGGAAGTTTGTCAGTGCAAGGATTTGTTTGGATTATACGCTACTGAATACAGCCAATGATAACCCAAGACATAAAACCTGTAAACCATAAGACATAATGTTAACTGTAATTATGTCAAGCACTCTGATTGGCTGTATTCACTAGTGTAAAATCAAATACAATCACAACGCGCGTTCGGTCATACAAGAAAGTTGGTTTTTGCTGTCAAGGTATCAAATGCGTAATAGCTTGACATTGTGAAGATGGATTTAAATGTGAGTTATTGTTCTTGACTTAATTGTCTGTTTACACGTGTGCGACTATATTCTCAATGTGAACTCATCTTCTTGATTAAAAAACATTGTCACAACAATTGAAAATTTTTTTTATGAATTGATGATCATATCAAAGTTATCTCATTGTTGTTCCAATAATTGCATCTTTAGTATCTTTAATAAAAAGAAATTTGTATTTAATTTGCTTAAAACACTTTACAAATTTTTGAAAGCTGCATGGCACACAAAATTACGCATGTTCTTACAAAATAGCATATACGAACGTAGTTCAAACCATTTTGAATCACTTCCTGGACTTAATAAGTCGAACTTTCATAAAGGTTAGAATATTTCAACAAAGCCTTCAAATCACATTTAAATGTTTAGATATGGCTTTAAAAATGATTTTCTATGTCCATGTAAGAATCATACGTATGAGGTGCATGTGTGCGCATGTTATCTTGCCTTACGACATATTATATTTCAATTAGTTGGAGAGGAAGAAGAAGAAACGGTACTAGTTCCAGTACAGACAGTTGAAAGAGACTTTAATTGTAAAGAACTGAAATTAAGACCATACCAAAATAAGTTATGTGAAAATGCTTTGAATGGAGAAAATGTAATAATATGTGCACCAACGGGAAGCGGTAAAACTTTTGTAGCTACAAAAATCATTATGGTAATCAAAATTTCAGTAATAGTTCATCCTGTTAAAAAGTTGCTCAATATATCTATTGTAGAGCGATATAGAAATATTAAATCTTGTTGAGTTTCACGCTGAGCGATCTTTAGACTGATATTGTTGTTACTCAGAATTTCACGCTATGCGATCATCAGACAACCGACTTATTGCAGCTTGCGTCCCTACTAAAGTGGCATGGACCAATTTTTTGAGTCAATCTTCCTGAATAATGACCAAAACTATTTTTTTTCTTGGGTGAGCCTCGATAACTTTGGTGCTTTGTCATTCTGTGATCATTTTGAATTCATATCTAACGAAGTTTTCTCTTCTTACATTGTTTGTAACAATCTGTAAATAGTTAGGAAACGTGGCTGCTAGTGATACGTCGCAGAGCGCTAGAGAAACTGCTACAGAAGTGTGGAGATGTTATTCATTGGTTTTCATATTCGAAGAGAAAGTTAGATTTTTCAGAAAGGAGTATTTTCTAATTTTCTTATAAACATTTCCATTCTAGGAACACTTCAATTCACGGGCAAGGCGAGGTATATGTAAAGTAGCATTTCTTGTCAATCAAGTAGCTTTGGCAGAACAACAAAGTCGTGTACTTAAAGAATATTTGAATCAACGGATTGAAATAATGACTGGTGATACTCAGTCCACAGATCGAGTAACATTGGCTAAATTATTACCAATGTATGTAGCAGAAACCTTATATTAATTAATAACTGTGTCATATATACAATATGAATTTTGTGAGGACCATCATGTTTCAAGAACAACGTAACACTTGAATGTAAAGAGAGATATCTATCAACTACATGAGCTCATTATTCCGATTCAAGACTGAGAATTATTTCACCTTCAATTATAGATAGTATGATAGAGATTCCAAAGTTCTAATTTATTATGTCTATTGGAGAATGTTCGAAATTTAAAATGATCCCAATACAAAGGCTAAGAAAACTATTTTGAAAAAAAATAGAATATTTTATGTGGAAAATGAAACTTGCGGACAAACTATCTTTTATTTCAGAACGGATATTATAGTTATGACAGCACAAATTTTTGTAGATGCTATTACAGAAAAAGAAATTGAAGATGTAACATTGTTCTCATTAATTATATTTGATGAATGTCATCATACTAAAGCTCGACATCCATATAACCAATTGATGAATAGATATATCGATTTAAAGCTTAAAAAGTCTGGCGGAACACCGAGGGTTGATACAATTGAAGAAGAGTATGGCCATGTCCCTACTTTACCCCAGGTAATAATTTATATTCGAGTTCCTTGACTGAAGGTGTGAAAAAGTTTGTCACAGAGAGCACAAAGCACCAAGTATGCTTATAAATATTAAAGTCAAAAAAATGTCAAAACAAAAACATACATAGTTAATTGTCGATCAGCAAGGTGGTACCTTTAGGTTTTGATCAACATGCCCTTGTTTTTGTAGATTGTTGGGTTAACAGCATCTTTAGGTGTTGGTAAAGCCTCTGCGGTAAAGGGAGCTGTGGATCATATCGTATCATTGTGTGCCAATCTTGATGTCAGTATGATATGTACACCTGATGAAGGTGCAGCAGATGATATGGCAAAATATGTCAATACCCCTATAACAAGTATGTCTGAATACGTATTTAGCCATTACCATTTTAACCAAAGGGAGAACAATATTAACTCGAAAAATATAATACCTTGTTTATGAAAGCTAAAATTTACGAACAATTTAAAGAGTAATGAGTAATATTAAACATTATTCTTTTAGAAAAGCACTGACCTAGGTCACAAATAAAGAGATCTGCTAAAAAACAGTGTGATTTGCCTAGTGGAATTGTTTGTTTTACTCATGCATGAACACAATGGAAAGTCAAAAGATAGCAAAAATTGATATTGAGTCATTGATTTTTGAACAATGATGATTTAAACTATGTAAGGAAGAATGACACACATATAACTTAAATCATCATTTTTTATTGAAAGGATTTAAAAGAGCACCTGGGCGTAAAAATGATCTTTTCCATAAAACTGTTGCTGAAATAATGAATGATATTGAAAAAGATATGAAAGAGTCTCCATGTAAGTTTTGTGTAAATCACATTATTTTATTTTTCGCACCAATTCAAAGTGATTCGTTTTATGAAAATGTTGACCAAGTTGATATGTAAATCCATATTTCATGATTAATTTCAGTTTTAGAAACAGACGAAGATTCGATCAAGAAGTTTAAATCTGATCATCTTAAGCCGCCGGGTAAAAAGGGACATGAAAGTTACACCCAGTGGGTCAATGAATTAAGAAAGCAAATAGCTACATTTGATGATCCAAAAGCAAGAAAATTCTTTGTTACCTGTCAGAAAATGCTTGATGTATGTATCACTCAGATCTATATTGTAGAAAAGCATTCATTAATGTCAGAGAATATTCTCGTAAAAGTGGTCTTTAATATTATAGTATTTTCAAATTTTTGTCACAGAAATATACATGGCGATTACATCGATATTTTAATGCAAGTTAAGTTCTGTGAGATGGGATGCAAGTTATATACTATAACATAATGCAATGAACCTAAAAAATGTTAACAAACTCCCTGCTTTCTTCGCCAATTATGTTAAAGTTAATCGTTGTTTAGTCCAATTAACATGATACAATTTAATGTCCCAATAAACATACAAAATTCCTATAATCTGATGTATTGTAGATTTATAATTCAGCTTTGATTATTAATAATGACTGTCGGAGTAAAGATAGTTTGCAATACATTGAGGATGAACTAAAAAAAAAGATTACTCCTAACCAATCTACAGATGCCAGACAGAAACTTATGACCTATTTTGAGAGTAAGTAATTTGTTTCTATTCATGGACAGGGAATTAGTATTGTTGAAAATGGAAAATGTATAGAGTTTTTCTTTTTAGGTAGACAGAAACGGCTACATGACTTAAGCAAGAACAATACTAATCCAAAGCTAGAGAAACTGAAGGAAATGATCATTGAAGCTTTTGAGATGAATCCTGATTCCCGAGCTATCGTATTTGCTAAAACATTGTCTTTGGTTCAAAAATTGAAGAACTGGATTCAAGAAACACCGGATTTATCAAACCTGAATCTTAACCCAGAAACAGTAACCGGGGCTCGTGCCTCTTCAGACCAAGGAGGTAAGATATTTTTAGTAATGATCATATAATTAGACCTAATTTGCTGTTATACCAACAACAAAGTTAACAAAGTACAGGTAACATCTTTACCAAAGTCAGTTCATGCTTTTATTCATTTTTATACGCCCACATGAAATGGGGGGGCGTATATTGCCGTCACCCATGTCCGTCCTTCGGTCCGTCGGTCGGTCCGTCCATCCGTCGGTCCGTCCACAATTGCTCGTAAACACTCTACAAGACACAATTCTTGACGGATTTTGACAAAACTTGGTATGAGTGTTCGTGATCACCCAAGGATGAACCCTATTGAAAATCAGAAGAATCGAAATTTATTTAGTATGAGTTATTCCCCTTGCTCTTGAAACGCGTTCAAGTTTTAGTTCGTAATCACTCTAGAAGGCACAATTCTTGACGGATTTTGATGAAACTTGGTGTGAATGTTCACCAAAGGTTGAACCCCCATTCAAAATCATAAGAATTGAAAAGTATTTAGTATGAGTTACTGCCCTTGTTCTTGAAAACGTTTCAAATTTAGCTCTTTAACACTAAAAGACATGATTCTTGCTGAATTTTGACAAAACTTGGTTTTATTATTCAGTCCCGCTCTGAAAATTGAATATTTGCCTTTTAAAGTTTTCACGAGCTAGAAATTAAACACGTTTTCAAGAACAACTCATACTCAATATTATTCAGTATCGCCCTAAAGAATATTTATACTGGTGATTGTAACTGTGCTGCTAAATGTTTTTATTCAAAATCAAAGCTGCCAGTGGGCGTATATTACCTTGCCTGGCAAGCTATCTTTTATAATCATACTGTGTTAACCAAAGAAAACGGAAAGAGGATCACAAATAAATTTGGTTTTTCAGGGATGACGAAAAATCGACAACTTGAAGTTTTGGAATGCTTTAAAGAGGGTAGTGGAAAACTTATCATAGCTACATCAGTTGCTGAAGAAGGTTTAGATATACAAAAATGCAATCTTGTCATCCGCTATGATCATGTTACCAATGAAATAGCCATGGTTCAATCACGTGGTAAGGATACTCACATAGATCTAGGCATGATTGGTTGTTAGTTCTGTTTTTTTTTAATAAGGCAAAAAGGACTTTAACGTTCAGCTTTGAGAAACGGAGACCAGCAAATAACTAACACAGACAAAATAAAGCGTTTTATACTGGAACTAGAACTGGGGCGAACAAAAGTACTTTATTTGCATTTTAATCGAATCGAAATGAGAGTTTTGTTTTCATTTTATAGGTAGAGCAAGAGCAGAAAACAGTCAGTTCATGGTAGTGACAGCAGATGATTCCAAATCGGAAAAGAAAGAACAAATGAATTTATCCAGAGAATTGATGATGAGACAAGCTATATTGAAGATAAGTGAATTAGAACAGAGTACGTTGGCTCAAATGGTATTGAGTCACCAGAACAAAGCACAGATAGTTCGCGATTCTGAAAAGAGAGTACGACATGGCCGCATAATAGATGATTCTGAGTTTGAATTGAGATGTTTTCAGTGTAATACTTTGGCCTGTTTCTCTTCGGATATTAGAACTATCAAACACTCGTCGTATACAGTTCTGTCAGATAATTTCAATAATTCCTACAAAACCCGAGATCACCCCGACCCTGTTGAGTTTAAAGCTGGCTTCATGAAAAAATATAAAATCTGCTGTAAAGAGAAAGACTGCAGGCACGATTGGGGCATTATAGCCATTTACCTAAACACAGAGTTTCCTCTGATTAAAATTGAGAGTTTTGTCATTGAGGATAGTAATGGCAAGAAAACGACCGTAAAAAAATGGAAGAGTGTACCATTTCAAATACCCGAAATGAGCGACGACGATTTAAGAAGACGATTAGCTGACTCGAGTGGTAACAGATCGGATGATGACTCAGGAGACGATTTAAATTGAACGATTTAGGTCTTTTGAGAAATTAAATTATTTTGCTACCATTACGTTTCATGTTGGGGATGGGTTTTACCGCTTATAAAGATTTGCACAGAAATGAGTATTGTTTATTTTAAGGTTCGCATATTTCATACTACGAAACGAAACATTTTCAATTTTGCAGAATTTTATAAATCTGTTATTCCAAAATACGTACTTACGTCACCAAAAAAATATTTTTTTGTCGCCATAGCAAAACCGACCAATAGTGGGATAGCGAAACTCAAAGTCAAAGAATCATATTGCTCTAATTTTCGTCATCCTGCAATCTTTGTCTTTGTTATCAAGAAACAGATCCTACGCGACACGTTTTTTTTTTAAACTAACGCCACAAGAATAGGACTGTGGTAGAAAGCACGAAGATTACTATTGAGACTATTTAAATTTAATTGTATTGTATGAACCTGACACAGTGTTTTATCGTACGAAACAGACGCAATTTTTAATTTTGAGTTCATATGACACGACTTATATACAGTACTAGATAGACCCATTTTATATAATTGCCAATTCATGCCAAAATATGTATTGATGGATTATGTTGAAAATTAACACACTTTTTCAAAGGTTAAAAAAAATAGTATGTAATTTATAGTTTTCCAAAGCAAAAGTTAGCTTTTTATTAAAAGGTACTCAAAAGAATTTTAGTGAATTGTTATCCTTCATCTCTTTGTAGATTTTAATTTTTTAATTCCATGTAATACATGTAGGCGTTTTCATAAAATATTAATACAATTTACCACTGTAGTTTATTTTGTTTATTTATATAAAATTATAATATATAGTTTATGTATAATATATTAAATTACCATTTAGATGACTGTAAATAGTGTCCTTTATTCCCATCCACATTCAGATTAATCGGCCAACTTAATCTGCTTGTTTCTCGCCGAAATACGATCCAATTCTTCAGTAAGGAAAGGAGGAAGCATAATCCAGTTTCCGATTTTCAAGAGCCCATTTGATCTGCTGTACCTTTTCCGAAATATGAAATGAAGTTTTACGACCAATTTTTTTTCACCATGTAGGACAATGCCAAGGCAGGATGCAATGGGGGAAATTTTGCCAGGATAACGACATTAGCCTACTCGTTTTCGATTTCCAATTGTCGAGGTATATCTTTAACGTGCACAGTCTGTAGCACATGGGGCCTCGGTTTGAAAAAGGTGAATCGTCAATGTAATTTTCAAACACAGATATTTATGGAAACACAATCTAAAAAGGCTAAAATTTCGACGATCTGCCAACATCTATTACTGATAAGCTTAGCTGAACGATTCTCGGTTCTAGTACTCAAATCTTTCATAAGATTGTGTCATGGCAACATTGGGACGCATATTTCGGGGGTTTATACAACATAATATTAAATCACTCATCGTTTTATTGTATAATAAAAACTTAAGGGTACGCTAAAACAAATTATATCCGTTTATTCAATTATTTATTTATTTGTGAAAACACCTATATAATGTATAGCCTACATTAAATAATGCCGAAAAATTTCACGGAGGTCAAGTTTTGGATTTTATTTTAGTGAAATAATTTGCATGTACTTCTGACTGAGAG